CTTTTTGGTTAACTGCTTTTTCACTCGTACCAGCCACTATAATATCGTCTACCCAAACTAATACGTATGAGAATGTTCCATCTTCCTTTCTTCCAAATAAACAATAATCGCTGCAGCTACTTTTAAAATTTTTCTTTAATAAGTAGACTAGCCAATGCTTTTTACCAATTCTTTGCTGCTTGTTTTTTACTCCATAGATTGATTTGTTTAGTTTGCAAACTTGCTTTCGTCCTGAGTTTGCTTTCTTGGTAAAACCTTCTGGTTGTTTTAGGTAGATTTCTTCTTCTATGTTGGAGTGAAGGTAAGCTGATTTAACATCCATCTGGCAAATATGTAGGTTTCGGGTTTACATGCTGGAGCGTAAAGGGTCTTTTCCACTCATCGCAAAATGCTCTTGCTGCGAGCTTGGGATGAGTATCAGCTCGCGCTGCCAATTTCCTCTCTTAGCTTTGCTTTATAATATATTACATGGCGGTTTGTTTTTGTTTACAATATGGCGGCCGCTGTCAATCGCCGTCTATTGTATTGAAGACGTCGTATGCGAAGATGCAAGGAGTATAGAAAGCGTTTTTGGTTTAGACTAATATTCGAAAGACGACAACAGCATGGGAAATACTTGAGATTGGTAAAAGAAATGAAAGAAGAAAACCACGAAAGCTATTTCGCCTACTTCAGAATGCTCCCTCGACATTTTGATTTTTTACTGTCTCTGGTCGCGCCTCTTATCACTAAATGCAGCACAAGAATGGATGCTATTTCTCCATCGCTGCGATTAACTTGCAGGCACTCGCCGCGAGCTTGCGAATACGTTTTGCGATGAGTGGAAAAGAGCGTTAAATATCGAAAAAGTCTAAGCCTTCGACTTGAGCATAACCCTTGGCACATATCTTGCTTTATATTTTTCGATTTGACCATCTGCTGTATTCTTTACTTTATATACCCATTTTCCTGGTAAGACTTGAATATTCTCTGGTTCGTTTACTATAGTCCATGTGTTATTTTCCATTAGTGAGTCATATTCCGCGTTCATCGCTTTTCTCCAGTTTTCTGCATGCGGTGTATTAATTGCTTCATGATGGCTCTTCTACGCTTTCTTCATTAGTTGTGTTGAATGTATAGTGTAATCCATACCTTCTGGTGGTCGCCCATTTCATCTTTCTCTTGGAAGCGAGATTCTCCCTCTGGGTTTTCTTCATCTTCTTCCTAATGTTGAGCAGTAGGTATCGCTACATTATTTCCTCCACTTCATCTTGAATCGGCTCGTTTGTTTTCTCATCTTATCATTGCTATTGCACTATCTTCTCCTTGATTTCTTTGGATCCGACTATCTTCATAATTCTGTAGTCGAGTTCTCAGTTCTGAGAAGTTAGCCGCTGGATTAAAACTTTCTTGTACCACAAAGTGTTCAAATTTTTCTGGAAGTCCATTAATGACTAAAGCATTAAATAATGTTTCTGATATATTGTCTCCAGCTTCGGTGAGTCGAGACATTAATTCTTGTCATCGTATAAAGTATTCAGATAACTTTTCATTTTCACTTAATTGTAATCGAGATATTTGGCGAAGTAGACTTACTACAGCTGGTTTTTCTACGTTAGAAAATCTTTGTTGCAGTAGTTGCTTCTCAATTTTCGAGGTAATCCTGATTCTCCTACGTACTCTTTGAATTTTTCTAATGTTTGTGCTTTCTTGCTCATGAAATGCATGTGCTTTCTTGTTTTCTCGCGCTTTTGCTCCGTCTCCGACACCATCTGGCGAATTGCAGTCATGTCGTATGTATAAATAACTGTTGTTGTCAAGAGCTAATGCAATATGACACAATACCGTGTTGTTTCTTTCTTGAATTTCGTCAATTTGTTGTTTTCTCTCTTGTACTTTTGTTTCCCATTCGGCCTTTTGCTCATTTGTAGCTTCGACTATAATGGTGTTACTTCTTGGGGTATGATTTCTCTCCCAATAAGTGCTTTATACAAACCTTTCGTTTGCATATATGCTGCGAACTTCGTGCTTCATGCCGGGTAAGTCTCGGCTGTTCCATCAAATACTAACCACTTTATTGTTTGACTATCCATAAATACTTTCCTGGGTAGTGCCCATAGCATGGCCAAATCACTCTGTTGCAACCACGTAAAGCTGAAAAGTTGCAATGGGACTCATGAAACAAAACTTATCTGAACGTGTTTGTTGTAGACAATGCTCTTTGTCTTATGAATTTATCATGAACCTTACCCAGGAGAAAACATAACCCTTGCGGAAAGATTATTTAATTATAGACTGTCTATGCTACTTTGAAATATTGAAAATTGTTTTTAAAAGGGTACTTCACGTTTAAGAGTGTTTCGAAAACTTGGAAACAAGATCTTCTGAATATACACACAGTTACTGTCCACGTATACACACATAATCAACCTGCAGCTGCACAGCAGTACAGACACCGGCATTGATGTAAGACACTGTCTGTAGTTTGTTTATGAGGTTTCAAAACAAAACTATAAACAGAATACAAAGCAAAGCACAAACCGACAAAAACAACAAGAAACCAGACGAAACAGTAAAAATCGTCACATTACCATACATAAACGGAACATCAGAAATGACTGCCAGACTTCTTCGACATTTAATATTAACGTCGCCCACAAACCTACACAAAAACTCAAATCATGTTTCACCAAACATAAAGACAAAACAACAATTCATGATACAACTGACGCGAGTTAGTCTATTACACCAAGTTATAGTACAATTGCCCTTAATTTATACAGTAAAATGAAGTAGTTCTGTTATTGTGATAAACTAAATAAGCGGAACTATGGGAAAATGGCTTGGCTACAAAAGACAAGAAAACTAAAACAACAATGATACATAAATGTATTGCAAGCCAAAGTGGACGAAAGTGTATTGGGTTTTAAAAATTGATAGTTCAGTGTAAAACTAAGGAAATTGATAGTCGAGAAAAAGAAATCGCATGTCGAGTTTTAGAAATTGACAGTCGAGAAAAAGAAATTGTATGTCGAGATTCGAGAAAAAGAAATCGTATGTCGCGATTTCTGTCTGTACAAGAGGTCAGCGGCTTCTAAGCCATTCTACTTTTCAAAAAATGGCGTCTGATGCGTCTGAAACGGAAGAGCTTGTTCGATTTCTTAATTTCCTCGATAAACTGTTTACTGATATAACACAGAGTCTTCGTGTTAATGATCCAGTTTTAATAGAATATAATAAAAATAAACGACATTTATATTCCAGTTATTGCAGCAATGTCTATTAAAGTACAACAACGCGAACTGACACGATTGGCGAACCTGATGCTACTGGTGAAATTATACAAAGACGTTCACTAGGTGCTCTTTTAGATGATCTGATGGAATACATGAAAATAGATTTAGGAAAAATAACAGAGGTTTTGGAAAATAATTTTAATCAAAATCTGACTCAGAGGGAAAGAATAATGAAAATGCTCCCTAGTACGGGGGGTAGGCCAGCGTATGATATAACCAAAGAACAAATCGAGCTATCGCGAGAGACAGGCATGAACTGGAAGAGTCTTGCCCCCTTTTTACAGGTATCAGAGGAAACCCTGTCACGTAGGAGGGAAGAATTTGGTATTGCACCAACTTATTCTCAAGTATCTGACAGTTGTTTGGACCAAACTATAGAAGAAATCCTGCAATTGACACCATATAGTGGAGAGACTTATGTGAAAGGAAGTTTGCATGCAAGGGTGTACTTGTTCAAAGATCACGAGTGAGGGAAAGTTTGCAACGTGTTGATCCTATAGGTCGAAGCTTGAGAAGAAGATATGCTATTTGTCGAAGAGTTTATAATGTTAAAGGACCCAAAAATTTATGGCATCTAGATTAAAATCACAAGCTTATATCATGGAGGATGGTTATACATGGTTGCATTCATGGATTTAGTCGAGCCATTATTTACTTAAAATGTTGCACTGATAATAAAGCATCAACAGTTTTGAATTTATTAAAGCAAGGTGTTGAAGATTTTGGATTGCCATCAAGAGTGAGAGGAGACCATGATGTTGAAAATTTTGAGGTGGCAAAATGTATGATTTCAAGTGTTCATAACCAGCGGATAGAAAGACTATGGGCTGAGGTCAACAGAGTTCTATCTGCACCTTACAAAGGAATCTTCAAACATTTGGAAGAGAATTCATTACTTGATTCATTGAATGAGGTGCATCTATTCTGTTTACAGTTCGTTTATCTACCTCGAATTAATGCTTCATTGGCTGAATTTGTTACCCATGGAATTACCATGGGCTCAGAACATGCTCTCACCAAACACCTATGGCTATGTGGCAAACAAACATGCTGTTGGAGTCAGACGAATCATCATTAATAAATTTTGAATTGTATGGAATAGATTTTGAAGGCCCATTTCCAGACATTATCACATCAAACAACTTTTGAAGAATGTTTTATGTAGTGCGGTGTTTGAAATGAAGATATGATCTTCACACTTTTGCTGGACAATTTAAGCAATTGTCTCATGAACCTGAAAAAATCAGGTGACTCAACGGGATTCGAACCCATGACCTCTGCGGTGCCGGTGCAGTGCTCTGACCAACTGAGCTATGAAGTCACACAGTGGTGAGCAGGTCAATTTTGTTGGACTCGACATGCGATTTCTTTTTCTCGACTATCAATTTCCTTAGTTTTACACTGAACTATCAATTTTTAAAACTCAATACACTTTTGTCCACTTTGGCTTGCCATAGAAAAGCAGACTTAAAAAATAACGTCTTGTAAATTCGAGATATTTTATGCAACAAAGTACAATTTACGGGGAAATTTCGAGTTTTTTCAATCTATTTGTACTTAATTCCTAAGTCATCGTTAAACCAGGCTTAGTATAGTGTCGAATTACTGCTGCAACTTGTAGGCTTGTTCTATGCTTTGTGTTAAAAAGCTCATGTGTTGAATTTACGCGATGTTGTTTTTTGAAGCATGTTTTTTCTTATAAAATCTTTCTGCTATTTTGTTTAGAGCAACCAGAAGATAGAACTGTGGACATGGGAAGATGGCGGAGGAAAGAAGCTGCAAGACTTGCGTGCTCATACACGATCTGTGAGGTATGGAAACAACAAGTAAACAGTCAATGATGATATCACCGTTTTTTATCCTGTTTGACAACAACCGTTTATTGTACACGTAGTTTTTTGGTACATTTGCATTAATCGACTTCTAATCAATCCGCTAAGGCTACGTTACACCATGCTCTACCAGGCTCATATTACTACCCAAAATTTTATGCCAAATTTTGGTAAAGCTTTACTCGTTTCAGAAAAGAAACTTTTATTGGTTAAAGGGGAATGGCAACCAATTTTTTTTCACTACCAATAAATATTTATTTGAATTTTATATGACATCGTAATTCTTTGTAGAACTCTCCTTAAATCACTTTGAATATAAATAAAATTGAAGAAAGGAATTTAAAAGCAAGCTATTATGGAAATGTGCATGACGTCACAACAGGGAATTAATTGTTTTAGAAAAAGTAAATTTTTTTGTCGGGATTTTTTTCATTGCTGGTATTAAAGCAATAAACCGGACACTACATGGCTATATGTTAACATATATACACAAGACTTGTATTTGCGAGGAACGCTTACCCTGTTGTGACGTCATTTTGCTAAAACACAAATAAATTAGCATAATAAAAATCTTTACAAGATGGCGACGAACATGCTATGATTAAAATCAAAAAAGAGACGAATTATTCCACCCAAACGAAAGCGATGACAAATTTTTGGTGTTTTTTTTCATATTTAGGGGTAATGTACTGTAATAATTATAAAAAAAATATTGCCATTTCCCTTTAAAAATCATAATGATATGTTAATGTGATCTGTGCGACGCAGATCATGTCAGATTTTCTAGACAAATGTTTCTTTATAAATACTGTGTGTAACTGTGTGAATTAACATGTTTTGTTTCCTTTTAAATTTTAAACTTAATTTTTTACGGTGTATGTTTAAATGGCAGAAATGATACAATTGATCTCAATTTCTCTGTAGTGGTTTGTTATCAGATGTAGATAATAATTTACCTGTAGATGAGCTTTTAACTGCTATCATTCTCGTAAATTTCAGAGCAAATCTGCATTATTTAAATATTTTTTACACATGACTCAGACAAATTTTATGATAATTTAAGACAATTTTTTGAATATAGGTATGAATACAATTATCCCTCATTGGATGATATAATAATGATATGACAGTATTGTTTTAAATAGGATAGGCTGCCCAACTTTTTGTTATATTTTTGTGTTAAATGACTATCAAAAATATTGATTTCTACATCAATAAATAATGGTAATCCTTCATATTTTACATATGGCTGGAGCATATCTGCTTGTAACTAATAACTACGTGTTTCCGAAAGCGGAAAACAGGGAAAGACTTCAAACTTTAAATTGCCTCATACTTAAAATGAAATTGATCGAGGTTAAAGGTAATTGTCTTCAAACTACAAATTATGTGTCGACATCTTTGTCTTGGCGAAATTTATATGGAAAAATGTAAATTGTTGGTGCAAAAATTAGTGTAATCAAGTAATAATGAAAAATATTGCTCAGTGAGAATTTAAAAAACTTTCAAAAACCGATAAATTTTTAATTTTTGGTCTTCAACTTCTTGTAGTACAACCTATTATCAGAGGTTTTTCGTATTCCTGAATTGTTTTCAACACAAATAAGATTGTGATGATATAGCATATGTTATGTCTCATCGCCTTGTGGAAATTTTTGTCAATTTTTTTGTTATTCACTCACAAACCCGCCCAGAATAGTATCTTCTGCCCTCAATGAATCGTTACTCAAGCATTGTTATTCTTATGAATAATGAATAGTTTTGAGCCATTTCTGTTTAGATCTATTTTATTTCCATTTTGGTGTGTTTTTCTCAGTTGCTTAAATTGGTCGAGGTTTGATCCAAGGTTGTTGGCAACGTGCTCTTTCGACAGCTTTATATATCTCTGGGATTTAAGGTACGGGAATTAGGTTTTATTAAGAAATAAAGGATGTTTTCTGTGTTTGCACATGCTTATGCAAACCGAGGAGACCTTTGGGAGAACTCGTCAGCAGATCAGTGCAAACCCGGGACCGAAGGTCAAGGGTTGCCATGAGGGTTCGAAAAAGACAACGTTTTAATTTTACTCGAGTTGCAAATTCTCTTTGTCTGATTGATTGTTTTGATTGATTTGGTCGGTTGACTTCAAATGTGTTTTGCACTTGCTAATGCAAACACGGCCTAGACCAATCACTGCACGCGTTTTATTGTTTTCATTTTATAACTTGTTTTCAAAAACTAAGCGTAAGTTTATTTTTGCATGAGTACTGTGCTTTTCCAACAAATCTTTGTTAATTTTATTTTCATTTTTTGTCTGTACCATGTACGACACTCATTAATCATTGAACTCTTTGTTTTGACTGGATACAGCTCAAACAATGTGATTTTTAAGGAATATTGAGATCGTTTCGTTCCTATGACACCGTTTCTCTGTTTTATTGACAATAGTCAAAACTAAATAACTCAATGTATGAAACAAATGCAAGCTTTGTAAACGATCGCAAACATCATTTTTGTCTTGTTTGGACGAATATTTTATAAAACTTGATGCGCTCTTTTTGTATATAATACAGCTCGGTATACTCTAATCATAATACTTTAGTAAGAAGAATGCTAAAGCAAAATGTATTTTCTCGCGGATCTTAAATGTATTGCTAGCCTTATCGGTATTGATTATATCAAGGTCGTGATAACAGTCAACATTATAAATAAAAAATGTTGTGAAAGAAAGATAATAAAGTTAAAGGCTGGCAATATGTACGCACTGCATACATAAGCTGCATACACTGCACCTTTTTTGTCGGAATTGTGCTAATGCCTATCTTTTGCCAATGGGAAATGTTTCGCGAAGTAGAAAGGGTACAGCTATGGTCCCGGAAGTAACCGGAGCTCTTACCCGTGTCAATTAGTTTCCAGTAAACAGGGCACGCGCGTGTCAACAGGAAACTAAGTAAGATTGCTTGTCACTGGTGAACTTAATGAATCGGAAATGAGGCAGGGGATTATTTGAAGAAAAAGATTGCTTGTTATTGGTAAAAGAATACAAGTATTGTTTCTTTCTTTGCTGATATAGAAAAGAGTTTACAATTTTAAAAGTGGCTAGTTTTCTTCTTACAATAAAAGCGAAAAATGGCTTTAAAGGCTTACATTAAACTAGCAGAAAAGTACGAAGAGTACGAAGAGTACGAGACTTTAGGGGAACGTCATAAAATTATACAAGATAGAGTGTTAAAGTTTTATACCAAAAAAATAGGGTACATATATTACCATGTATTGTTGCTCAAGACTGTTTTTGCTGCAATGTTAATCATCCTTCCCAAAGACGGTATGAATGTTTGATGCTGCCAAGCAATGTGAGAATATTATTTTACTTTGAGAATGCTACATTAGAAATTGATCAATAAGATGTAATGAAATCGTTCTTTGATAGTTTAAGTGACCTAAGTCAAAACGTACACCGGTTAGACTTGATCAAGTATACGTGCAAGGACTGGAGAAACATACTTTTCACGCAGCAAAAAGAGCAACTGAAACATGAGATAATGAACTTTTTCAGCAAGATTTATTAATTTTTACTTTATTAATCAGTCATTAAACAGCTAATGAAGCTTGTAATAAAGACTCTAAAAATATGGTGGTTAATACCTATTTGTACTAACCTAGCGCATGTACTTTGCTATTCAGTATGATACTTCGAAATAGAAAGACAGGAACCGAAACCATAATAAAGGGTTTTGTTGCACATGAAGGGTTTTTTTTACATTATAAACAACAGTTGATTTTAATTTATTCAATATCGAAATATTAATATAATCCAAAGGTTCTCATAACAAAAATTCATTGATCACATTTAATCATCTTCATCATTGACAGTGTCAGTAAAGCCTTATCCTTTTAAGTCTGTTAATAAGGAACTTTCTCTTGTCAACGGCTGCTTCCATAGCTTCCTGTGGATAAAAGTCTTCGTTTTCTATAAACCCTTTCTTTGTATGCATTATTGATAGATTTTTTTTCAATCGGTTTATACACGTAAGACGTTGCATGTAAATGCTTTCTAGTTCTTTTTGTAGTTTTGGCAGAATGTTAGATTATGCTTGATCATCAGCTGACTGCTCATCTAGACACCCGTTCAAATGGCTTTCTTTCATCTCATCAAAACCTGCATTACTTCTTTCCCTTTCCTCTTCTATCAATGGGGTCCAAGAATCAGTTTCAGTTTTACCATCCCTTTCTGTTGACATCAAACTTTCAGATTCATCTGTGGAACTTGTCGAAGCATTGTATTTAGTCTGTATATCCTGACTGCTGCGTCAGATTGAGATACATTTACATACAGATATACACTAGGTGCCAAAAAAATGAGTCCAGTTCCAATATTGGAAAAATTTGTGGGAGAAAATGTGTCTTTTGAAATATATAGTTACAGTAGCCACTTGAAAATGCGCAGTGAGACCTGAAATTGTCTCCAACAATTGTTTGCAAGATATTTCACAATATCTAAGCGCATGGGCAGTACATTGGGAAATGTCTAAAAATTTAAGTGAAGAAGTTAGAGGACAAATTGTTGCTCTCACTAACGAAGGTTACTCACAACGAAATGTTGCTGCAAAGCTGGGAGTGTCCAAAGGAGCTGTGCAGCGAACCGTGGAAACATTTAAAAAGACGCAATGTTATTCCAGCTTACCAAAACCTGGGAGAGCACGTATAACGACAAAAAAAGAAGATCAGTTCATAAAGCTAAGTTCTTTGCGCAACAGACGAGCAACTGCTAGCAACATTCAATCGTCAATTAACGCCACCCGAGAAAAAGCAATCAGCAAAACAACAGTAAGAAGGAGATTGGCTGCAAGTGGTCTGAAAGGAAGAGTTGCAGCTTCCAAGCCATTGCTTTGCCCGATAAATAAGACGACGTTTTATCATTTGCCGACGCAAACAGTGTGATGTTGATATGTCTGTTTTTTTGTCAACCATTTATGAAGCAGAAAAAAATGTAAGTTTAACCATTGTCGGGTCATCGTAACGGTTTTTATTATGCATAGGTATTAACAATTTTATTTTTACAAGCTTCATTAGCTGTTTATTTACTGATTAATGAAGTAAAAATTAATAAATCTTGTTGAAAAAGTTCACTGTCTCATGTTTCAGTCGGTCTTTTTGCCGCGTGAAAAATACGTTTCTCCAGTCGTTGCACGTATACTTGATCAATTTTAACCTGTTTACTTTTAGACGAAGGTCGCTTAAACTATCGAAGAACGATTTCTATACATCTTCTTCATCAATTTCCAATGTAGCATTGTCAAAGTAAAATAATATTCTTACATTGTTTGGCAGCATCAAACATTCATACCATCTTTGCAAAGGATGATTGACACTGCAGCGATAACAGTCTTTAGCAGCAAGACATAATAATATATATACCCTATTTCTTCGGTATAACACTTCAATACTCTATCTTGTATAATTTTATGACGTTCCCCTAAAGTCTCGTACTCTTCGTCGATATCATAAAGTTATCGTCAATAATTGTTGTGTTAATTTTTATTCAATTTTTAATCTTTACGCTTTCTTCTATCATATTGCGTTTTCTTTTCGTGTAGAGACTCAAGAAAACCAAAGCCTCTGTCTACAGTTTGTATGTTGCTTCATCTTTATCTGTTAGATTAATTTCTCATTCAAAAGAACATATATTTATCTTGTTTTTTCATGATTTGAAATGTTGTGTTTGTCTTGTGCTGTGTTTGTCTTGTGCTTTTTATTCACTCTTAAAGTTACAAAATTTGTCACCATCCTACTGAGTTTTTGCAGAGTGCCATATTCTCAAATAATATTATAAATAACTAATGTTTAACTTAGCGGGAGCGAGTCATCTGAAATGGAATTCAGCTGATAGCCATGTTTTAGCCACAACGCATGATGGCGATGTCAGAATTTGGGATATGAGGGTAAGGTTGTTGCAAATTAATGCATACTCGTTGTAACTATATTGTACGTCTTTAGATCATGGAAATATTTAAAGGAAACTTATGGAAATGTTTCAGTCATGTTTTAGTCTTGTTTAAGTAATAGGACATCGCTGGGAAGAAAAGGCGAATAAAATACATAACAGCGGTAGCTCCAAAATAACGTAGGCATTTTGACTCAACGTTTCGACTTTATTTAGTCATCAGGAATGATTATATTGCATGTGTATGTAGTATGTGTTGACTATTTATAAATTGATATATTAAACAAAATTATAGTTCTGGGGAATATCTTTTGTGATTATCTGTCTCTTCTTAGGTATGTCAAATTACATAGAATTTCTATATACTATACACGCATGTAATACAATCATTCTTGATGAAGAGTAAATAAAGTTGAGACGTTATATCACAATGCTTCCGTCATTTATAGTTACCGTTGATGTATTTTATCGCTGTTAGATAGTTAAAAAGCATGCATTATTTAGATTTCCCAATATTTCTTGGTTTTCTCATAAACTGAGCGTTTGGACTAAGTGTTTGACAGTATGAAATCAACTATTTGTCATGGCTATGTTTATGGATGAGATGCATGCACTGGTCGCAAAAGCTACTTTGTATTGGTCTTAATAATGGTGCTCAAACTCAATTCAGTATTTCCGGTCTTTCCCAAATTGCTATCTCTAACTACAAAGATTGTTTCTTACAAGGACATACATAGTTGAGTCCATAGATCTATATTTTAAACGACAGTTTTGAAGAAAAATCTTTTAAATCTAAGCCAAACCTGAACTGAAACCCTGACCAATCTGAACTACTTTGCTTTCAGAAAGGAAATATGCCTGTTCACTATATTGCTGCTCATTTATCAAAGATCAATGGCCTAGATTGGTCACCTGTTGATGGGAATAAATTAATGACTTGTAGTCAAGACAGCTTAGTCAAGGTGAGGCTGTTTTTAATTAAGAACCAGTGTATCATTGATATAGAAATATCTGAGAAAATTCAAAACAGAGTTAAATTATAACATTAAAGTGCTTATATTACGAATTTTAGCCCCCCTTTTTTATTAGCTAAATTGAAAGACCTTGTTTCAGTGATTTCAAATCTGCAATTATAATTGAAATTGGATTGGTGAAAGTGATTTTACGGACGTTCAAAGTCACGATTTTCAGCATTTTTTTTGCGAACTTTTTGATCGGTATGCTAATGACTTGTGACGTAGAAAGTTGAACACATATATCAACATGGCGTATTCTACTAGTAATCTTAATAAGAAACGCGGAGGAAAACGCTGTGTTGCCGGCGGACCTAATCATATGAGTTGTGCCAATGATTCAAAAACCGAAGGAATGTCGATGCATCTGTTTCCTAAAAAAGAAACAGAGCCGCAAAGACATAGAAAATGGGTAAATTTTGTGCGTAAACATAGACCGGGTTTTGAGGCTTCCTCTACCTCGTGTCTGTGTTCTGCGCGTTTTGAAGATTCTTGTTTTGACCTTAATTTGAGCGTGCAAGTCAAGCTCAAAAGAAGGTTGAAGAAAGATGCTATCCCAACCATTGACGTGGCTGGGATTCCTGAACCATTACAGGACGAAATAACGGATCGAAAGCGAAGACAAGTAAGTTTACGCTTGTTTATGTAAATTTTTCTTTTGTCATATGTAAATTCGGTATAAGTTTTGTAGATTATTCGACATACTCTCCATAAGCCATCGCTGAAGGAAACATGTTTTCTCGATGAGGAAGTACCATCTACTAGTGATGGAGCTGAGCATGTTGAAGTATGCACTGGGAAGCAAACGATTCGCCATTTGAAGAAGAACTACATGCAGTTGGTGAAGATATTTGTGAATCCCAGTCTCCATGTAAATCGTGCCATCGTCTTAAGAAAAACTTACATCTTTACAAAGACTTTAAGCTGGTATAAAAGACAAAAGCATCTTTGAAGAAAAAGGCCCAGAAGTTGCAAAATGAATATCGAAGCGAAATCAGGGAAAATCGTAATACATCCGTGGTGACCAGCATTAATATAGACGATGGAATGGAGGGGAGTGCTGAAGAGCTTTTCGAAGGAGAATCATACATGGACTACCCTCTTTTGAAGAGTCTAGTCAGAGTGAAGATTTAGATGAAGATACCACAAGTAATACAGTCAGGTATTTTATCTTATAAAGAATTAGATCTCTGTTGTACTTCATAATAATGAATTTTCTTAATCGTGTTACAGAATTGATGAAGGAGCAAGCTCGCATGAACAACCTATGTTCATGGTATTTTACATCTCATTGGTTGAGTTATTTGAAATATTTTGCTTTAACTGCAAGGCTGAAAATCCAAAAGTACACATTAAAAACATTGGTTCGATGGCCATTGTAGAGCAAAATTGTGGTAAATGTGTTGAAAAGAACTTTATGTGGTAAACACAAGCAGGTAAAGGTCAAGTATTCTCCCATCCCATAGACCCACAAAACCATCGCATCAACCATCTGTATGCCACAGCTCTCAAGTACCTGAAGTAAATAAAAAGGTTGGACTAATTATTGTTGATGAAACAATGTTGATGATAACATTGTTTCTCATACAATTTACAATCTTACATATTTAATGATTGTGATGCTTGGCGGCGATAAGCACGTCCATTCCTATCTCTCAATAGTGGCCCAACGTTTTCAACGACAGCCTCATGAACTAAAGGCCCAAATTTGGCATGCTGTGTTATGCATGATATTTTCTCAATGCTGCCATCGAATGTCATTTTCTGCAGAGCTGGTCCTATTTCCTTACAGCATCTGTACTCTAATGCACTTTCTAACAAATCGGTATGACAGCATTGACAATTACACCTGAAACGTGGGAGCATTGTGGTTTATAAAGTAACTTTATGTATATTACAAACAGGAGAAAAGAACAACTTACCATCACCGAGTGGAATTACGCCATCACTTCGTTGTTCTTATGTCGCAGGGAGAATTCCATCGGGATCATCTGTAGTATGCACTTCATCACCATCTCCTGCGAGCGGTTCATCGTCATATGCGAAGTCGTTTAAATGCTCGACATAACCCACGGATTCCGAGCTCGAATCAGATACGCATTCAGACATCGAATTCGAATTATCTGAGCACTGATTTCAGGCCATACTTTCCGGAAAACTTGTTTTTTAATATTTTATTGAAAATACTGTCATTATTTGTTTTTAAGACAAGAAAAACGACAACAAAATCACCTCCTATAATATAATAGTATATTGACGGAAACAGACGTGTTCAACTATCTACGTCACAAGTATCAATATGGCGTCGTAAAAAATTCGCAAATAGTACCCGACTTTGGAGGCAAAATTAAGGAACTTATATTTATCTGTTTAAGTCCAGCGACATGTCATAGTTCTTCAAATAATCCAAATTTTCAATTAAGCTGATAAAAAAGGGGGGCTAAAATTCGTAAAATAAGCACTTTAATGTTGACGACCACTTCAGCTATCCTGTATAGTGTAAAAATAATTAAAGCTGTATATGCAATCAATAGTCTTATATATAATTATGTAATAACGAAACTTCACGTTTTTTATCAATTTTCCAACGTTTCAAATCATAAAACTCAATTATTAAAATATATTATAGCATTGTCTTCTTGGCTATTAAAAGATAATGGTTTTTGTTTCACGCATGAAATTTATTTTAAACTTCAAATACTATGATTAAGACAGTAAATATAAAATAGCAATCTATATTAAACAACAATGAAATGCTCGTGGTGATTGTAAACATCTTTTATATTTTAAATAATAAAATAAAATTATCCAATAAAGTTAAAAGTGAATTGTTTTCACTTGCTAAAAGTAAACACTCGTTGATAACTTCACCAACTAAGCAGATTCGAACAGTTTTCATTTTCCCTTTATCAGCACATAGAATGGTTTGTGCTTTTTTCCCTGGCTTATCAGCTTGTCATAACTTTTAGGGCCACTTCCCTTGCTGAAATGATTCATTCAAAGTTCTTTTCTCAGAGAGTTACTTCTATGACGCGGATTCTAATTATGTCTCACCTTAAGGAATCTTGTGATGCAACAAATTTACATTGCAAACTACGCTTTTTTAATTTTCTAATAAACGCATCGCAAGACTAACCTTTGGTTGAAGGAGTTACTTTTTACCAGCATACGACCAGATCGAAAATGTCTTTTTTGAAGAAGGAACTAGGAAGTTTCAGAATAAATTCCACAAAGACATAGTGATTCACGATATACATGGTGCTCCGAAAAACGGGAACCCACAAAAATGATTTAGAGTTCTCTTGTCTTTCTTGTTTGATTGCTATAATCTTCAACGATATATGTCGCTTCTGTGTTAATTACTCGGCTCAATGTGTCTCATTGATGACAAACACTTTTCTTAAACATTGTATGACAAGGTGAACATACTTAACAGCCAGCTATATTTTTGCTAAGTATTTGTTGCTTTACAGGCTATTTTACCTTAAAAACTGTAGTTATAATATGAGAAATGTAACAGGTTGGGATATACTTGTCGCTTATCGTTGTTGCACGCCATGTGTTAAATGAAAACGACATAAAAAGGGTTCAACGTGGTTACTTGCAACTATTTTTGAAGTATTTAAATAGCACCTTATAAGGCAGCAAGATCAAATTTTTTAAAGGTCTTTATTTTTCCAACCCTTGTATGTCAGCAAATGCATAAAACGACGAATCAGAAAAAACTGTAAAACCCGCAAATCAATACAAGTTCAACACTACTATATCGTGAATTAGTTGAAAGCTTAGCTAAAGAAACGTTTGTACCTGTTTTATGCATGTTTTCGACGACTATATCTGTGACAACAACGAAACAACTGGTCGCTCTATGATTGTACTAAAGCAATTGAATTCCTCATTCTTGATTTTATGAGGTGATATTTAACGGGGCGATATTTAGGTGATATTTAATCTCCTCATAAATATCTTAACTGTCACATAGAAAACTCGAGCTTATTATCTAATTGTCAAATAGAAGAGTATGCTAAACACTTAATGTTTCTGCATTTGCATGATACTAAGCACTTAATATTTTTTATTTCCCTTTATTTTCAAGCTTTGGGATTTGGGCGAAGACACAAGAATTCCAAATGCTGTGTGTGACCATAGAGCGTCTGTCTGGCGGGCTAAATATACTGTAAGTGTGCATATCAATACATTAACCAAATATGCCCTGTTTCAATATGGAAATCATCATCCATCAAATTACTCCCATCTTTAATTTATTTTACACTGAACTCGATATTTTTGTGCAAAATTTTGATATTTTTAAGCAGCATGATTGTTTACCTTTATTGGTTGGATATGCAAGTTGGGAAATAAGTTTGTCGGTTTCTTTTATTTTCATATGGTTAGCGATGTGACATATTGTTAGACAGCTTTTTACCTGATGAAAAAAATGTTGCTTCGGTAAATATTACCCTATTAAATGGTTATTACCCCGTTTCTTACAATTCGAAACAATTCTTAAGTGGCCTTAAACTTTTCGCCTGTGTACCATGCCCTCAACAATTGGCGGCGTTATTTTATTTGTGAAGGACAAAATTTAAAAGTACGCTGAAGAAGTTGGTGTTAAATGAAAAATATCTTTAGTCAATCTACAAATGTGCACTAAACAGACAAATTGAGTTTGTTATCTTTTTGATATATGAATACTAATTGGAACTTTTTTCTTCTATTATTGCGATATCGAAGAGATCCTGTTTTCTAACGGAATTTGTTGTGTTTGTGTGTTTACCAAAGATTTTGCATTATTTTTGCAGAACATTCTTCATTGCGGTACTTGTGTGAAAGCAGCTTTATCTTTACTTCAAAAAGATTTAAAACATAGTATTTTAACTCCTACACAACATCTTGTACTTGACGTATACTATTTGCCCTTTTGTCGAGATGCGTGCTCTTAAACGTGTTTTTGTAAAAATGTACTTGTTTTAACTCATACTTGTTTGAATTAAACATGGCTATACGAAAACCTTGTCTTTTAGTCGTTTCAATGCCCAAAGCTCCAATATTCGGTATCAACAATTTTTTGTTTAAAATGCGACAACTAATGCTGAAACAGTATTCTTGCAAAGAATAGCTCTGAGTAAAAAGTTTTAATTTTTTAGTTCACGAAGAATTTCTTCAGAGATTAATTGAGAAAAATGTTTCATCGTTCGTTTTTTGTCGCTATTTTAATGCTATAGTTCTATCCCTCCGTCGTATTAATGCCATATACTGTTTTTGCTTTGTTTTCGTTACATAACTTGTGTTTATTTTTATTTTCTGAAGCCAAAAGCGCCAGGAAATGCAATTCTCACTGTGCCTTTAAGCACTGCGTCGCAAGGGACAATAAATGTGCCATCACTTTGGGACATCAGCAATTTGAAAAGTCCGTTTCAGACGTTTTATGGCATTACTTCTGTTCTTGAGTTTCATTGGAGACTTTCTCATGGTAATTTAGAGTACACTTAGGAAAAGTTCTTGCCCCTTGTTTTCTCTGTTTTTTAATAAATGTCTATCTTAAAATGCTCTCTTAAAAGTCGTTAGGTGGCTGCTCTGTATGCATCATAATGTAGTATAATCAATTTTAGTCCCACTATTGTTAATCGCCGTATTTAGTTCAGTATCATAGCACGGTCAGCGTATGATACTACCAATCCTTTAATACACTGCATAAGCATCTATTTTCAATAATTAATGCATAAAGTAAATCTACGACCATGCATATTGGGACCCCACAGTTCAGGTTTATTTTAGAAAAGCACAATTTTTAATTTTGGTAAATTTCGATATATTTTGGTATACTTGGATATTTTGATATTTTCTCGACCTCTAGATATCTGTCGTTACCATAATTTAACTATTTCATGCAAGGCAAGACGCCATCTTGATAGGTGGCAAAACTAATGGTGTTTGACATATTTCTGCTTTTCGTGAGTTGATCTACAGCTGCAAAGTTTGTAGTCTAGGTTTGGCTTTTAAAATATTTGATAGGATTGGTTTTTTAACTTTACTTTTTAACTTATTTTTGATTTCGAGTTAAGCTTTTTGTCACTTTTCAAGATGGCATCCTTTGCTCATTCTTATTGCATGATACTTTCTAACTGCAAATTTTTATTTGACTTTAATTTCAAACAATTTTTCTAATTATTATGAGCCCGTATTACACGTTAGATAAATCAAGTCAGTGAATGCAGCATTAAGCAAAGTGATAAAACAAACTTTAGCATGTAGAAAAAATATAAAAGATTATTTTTTTCTTAACGTGCACACTTGTGTTAATTTATAAATTCTATAATTAATAAATGCATTGTAGTCGACGACGGTTATCAATTACTGACGTGGTCAAGGGATCAAATGCTAAAGTTATGGAACTTGGATCCACGATGCTGGAAGGTTAATAAAACTTTTTATTTTTTTTAATGCATCTCACCTCCATAGTCTTCATGAAAGAATTATATATTATTATTTTTTGTGAATTTTTGTTTTTCAAATCAAATTTTCTGCAACATAAGCGCTTGTACTATTAATTGCATATCCACTGATTAACTGCGTTATCTGAGTTTGTGATGACGTGCGTATTACCCGTATTGACGTTATTGGTCAGCTCAAAATTTTGCAATTTGGTTTGCTCAATCTATTTTTGTTGTGGCTCTTGCAGATAAGCTCAGTTTTGTAGTGGAGCATTCACTTTTTCATCTTATGCCAGAAAATATGATTACTTGAGCACAGACCATTTAATATCATGCTTTTACTCGGGTTCTCGTGATGTTTAGCGACTATACCGACAAACTACATTGATTCAATGCGTAAATCAATTAAAAGATTTGTTTTGCTACTTTTATATAAATACCTGTATTAAAGCTCCTTTTTACGGATAATAGCTAATATACATGAAAAATTTCTCGATTCTGATTGGTTAAGAGGAGTTCAATCTTTCCTGAATACCATTACAAAAACACTAGTGCGAATTTCTTTTTAAAAGTGCCCCTGATTGGTTTGTCAAACAAAGAAGTTACATAATAGCTTATCAAGAGAAAACATTTCAAGGGCAGGAAAGTTAAATCATTGTCAACAAAGCTATTACAATGGCTGGCGTAAGTTTTAAGCATAGATTTTCTTTGGCGATCGAGTCACAGTTCGTCGTTTGCATGAAGTTTCTAGACAAAAACACGTATACTGCGAAAAGTAGTTACTTTTTTCTAGCTTCATGTGTTTAAGCTATTGTGTTGTGAAAAATAATATCTGGCGGAATTAAAAATACGAACAGGTCGATATTAATAACTTGCCGGCAGAAATGTACGTACGCTAAAATTAAAATCAACAGAATTGAGAAATTTTTCATGCATATCATTAATAAGTAATTATTGTTTCTAGTGCCATTTAGAAAACAATAACTCCCAAGTTTTGAAAGACTTCAAATTTGATAGCCTTTAAAACTCATTCGTCCATGTTTTTCCCAAATAGCAGTCGAAACCACACTATTACGTGTACTCACGTTTTGATTTAGATGACTGATGCTTTGAAAGACCACAAAGAACAATCTGTAATAAATTCTCGCCCGTCGGAGTATCTACCGGTATCCTCGTTTGGGAAAAATGGTAGAGACAATAAAAGCAGCAACGAGAACATGATCATAAACCTAAACATGAAACCTAGTAAATTTTCGGAAGAAATTGCTCAAGTTTGCAAAACAGTTCGTGGCGTTGTTTGGGAAGAGGTGAGTTATTACGGATTTTGTATTCTGAAAATGGACATGTACATTAGTCGTCCATACCGGTCTCTTGATTAGTGCGTTACATTGTTTAAAGTGCAATAATACTATGAAGAGAAATAACTGCGTATCGCTCATGCATGAAGTTTGTAATTGAAAGTCATATATTACAAGGGAAGGACTGCCCTAACACTCACTAATTTTTTCCTCTGTCCGGACCTGCCATAGTTAGCTTCTGCATCGGTTCATTTTCATTGACTTTAGGCCAATCTAACGCAAGTTTTTTGACATGAGTCAGGGGTCAGTTTAGGTTCGCTGCAGTTATACTAGCTAAAAATTGCGTAAATACATATAGAATAATCACAATGAGATCTACCCTGTACTATAATTATGGATACTTCATTTATCAGACTTAATTCAATCAGTTTTATTTACGTTAAAGCTGCTTACTGATTCATTAGAAAATAAGAGCTCATTTCTATATTCGTACTTGGGTTTTGAGCTATTTTGCGTTATAACGCTGCTTTTTTTTTATTGCAAAAAGTTATTTTTTGCCTTTTCCAATTCAAAGCTTGACCACATGGCTGCCGAATGTGAATTAGCCTAACTTTGCAGTCTATTATTTGGGATTTTTAAGCGTCATAAAAGATTTTTGTACATGTATATTGTGAATAGTTTACTCAATATATTCAACGATGAAACTCAGTTCTGAAGTTGTTGGTTTTATGTGAAGTTTTGATGATTTAAGATTTGTCATTATGTGCCAATTTTTTTACCCTTTCTGTTTTTTGGCCACCAATTCGGATAAGTGCATGGTGGTTTTGTCGTTTCAGCCAAAAAACATATCCAGGTATTCTTTATAAAGACCTCGAATCTTATTTTATGACAACATTGAGTTGCAGTTACAATGTCATGTCTGTGCTTGATGTTATTTCTTTTAAATCTCTTAAAGCGTTTGCGGATTAAATTAAATTATTTACTTGTTTGGTTACCAACTTTGACTTACACGTTTAAGTGAAAATTGTTCAAGTTGCGAACAGGTAGAATTTGCTACCTTATTAATTAATATAATTATAGAACTATCGTTTTGGACGACTCCCTTCTGAAAAGCAAGAACTAAAAATCTGCTAATGTGATGAAATGACATTGTTTGCAATTGTGTCCAAAGTTGGACTTTTAAGTTTCTTTTTTTTTTGCGCCACACAACAGTTCTTATTCCACTTCTCTAGTTTGTAGAATTACTCACGCCCAATGTAGTCAGAAGTAGCTAATTTATTCCTTTATTGGTTGTCTATCGTTGTATAAAGGCCGATTTCCATTTTGGTCATTTTGCCTGCGCGCGCTAAGCGGACACTTTAAGGTCAATTTCCATCAGCAAAAATGTTCGAGCAGGCATAGCGATATGTCACCGTCCGCGCCGAAAAATATTTTGCTATATCCAAATGCCAAAACCAGCGTTTGCGCGATTGAACTTTTCAATTTTGCAGAGTTTAACGAAAGACAATTTATTTTGCTTTTTTTCTTCGAAGACGGCAACTACGTTAAAAAAAACAGAAATGTTGGGTGAGAAAAATATTTTCCGAAAGAAAAATGAAGGAGAGTGTCATTTACTCTCAGCTATTCGACCACGATTACTTTTCATAGAGACGTGCCCAGTCATATGGGATACTCTTCAAAACAATGATTACCTTTCAGTCCCAAATAATCTTGCCCAGTGGAAAGCAATTGCTAAAGAATTTGAGCGCAAATGGAATTTTCCGAAATGCGTGAGAGCCATTGATGGCAAACATGTTATGATTTAAGTTCCCTCTCGATGAGGCTCAACATTTGTTAATTATAAAAAATTCCACAGCATCGTACTGCTTGCAGTGGTAAACGCAAACTACGATCTTGCGCTTGTTGATATTGGGGATGCTGGAAGGCAGAGTGATGCAGGAGTGTTTCGAGTAGCAAGCTGGGCCATGCAATGTGTAATGATTTGTTAATTCACCAACTTCACGAAAACTCGATGACACGACTACTGAATTCCCATGTGTTTTTTTGGGGGATGAAGCCTATCCCTTGAAAACCTTGATCCGTCCCTATCCGAGGTCCTGTCTCAGACTGGAAGTAAGAATTGCTAATTACCGCATTTCACGAGCACGACCAATTGTAGAAAATGCTTTTTGGATTTGTGCTGCAAGGTTTCGCGTTTTTCTTACTATACTGACCAATATAGTACTAAAAGTGGACACCATTGTTCAAGTAGTGAAAGCAGTGGTAGACCTCTACAATATCTTAATGTCTGGCAGATTGTTTGCAAATTATAATCAGTGTAGTCTCGTTGGCTATGTTCATGAAGAAACTGATAAAGGAATAACTCATGGACAATGGAGAAATAATGCTCTTGTTGCTGGATTTGAACCACTTCCAATGCATCATCAAACAGCTACTGTCAAGATTCTAAAACTGTCAGGGATTATTGCCGTGACTGTTTTATTTCAGAGCAAGGTTCTGTTCCATGGCAAAGGGCAATGGTGATGAGCACAAGTAACTGGTTCAATGAGTTGCAGTTCAAACTTCACTGACATATTTTAACACACAAATCAATTGATTATTGCTCTTTTAAATATTTTACAACATGAATCATATTTCTTTATAAAATAACAAATAATAAAAAAGCAAAATGTATTTTTTAAATGTAACTCAACATAGAGATTTACCTCCTCAACTGTGAACATATAAAGTATTTACTAATAAGAACCACTAAAATCTCAACTATGAACATATAAAATAGTTTTATTTGTTTTTGATAATGACTGAAAATTTTAAACTTAAAATATAATTTGTTGCAACTTTATCCTTCATCTGCAAATTCATACTTCATGAAAACTTGCTGTATTTCTATTTTAACTATCAGGTTCTGTTTATCAGGCAGGGAGTCCAAAATAAGGGTTAAGCTTCGACAGAATAATGCATTTCCATTTTCATTATGCAAACTGTTTGGGTCATTTGACGTTTGCTTTACCTCTGTTGATTGCAACTTTAAGGTACTTAACATCTGTTAAAACAAATCATCATATTGATGATTTGTTTATATGTCTTTCCATCTAGCTACTAAAAAGTTTACTGATTTATTTCTATATTGATTATTGTCTCTGATCACAAAATACAATTATTTTTGAGAAAATTATTAACATTTTTACGAATCGAACAACCGAAGATCATATTTTTTCTGACTTTCCATTATACACGAGTATTAATGGCCACACCAACCAATCCGACCAGGAAATACGATTGAATACTCTGTTCATGCCTTGTTTGATTTTACGTTAAGCTACTAGACATTACTGTGCCCTGACGGCCAGTATTGTAAGAAGAGTGCATATTGCTCCTGCACATTGGAAATACTATTCTTATTATCTACTCCGTGCTGACTGAAAAGTTTGCAAACTGCGCACCCGAGATCAACTTTAAAGGCTGAGGCACACTGCGCAGTCGTTTTGGTCGCGCGATTTAAACTACCAAATCACGTGCTCTCTTGTAGTTTTAGTCGCGAGAGTAGATGCACTTTGGAAGTTCAGCATGTTGAGCTTTTGACCTTGGTCGCTTCGTTCACTGGCATATGATAGGTTATTTCATAGCTCAAAATAGACAATAAAGTTTACGTGAACAAAGATGGTTGGTTACGAAAAAGCGCTCATAACTTCTTTTCGTAATTTTCCTGTTTTATTTGATCTTGGAGACAAAAATTATAAAAATGAGCCGATGATTTGACAAATATTTGAGGGCTCATGCAAAAATACAGATTGAACTGCTCTTCATCGATTCTTAGTTCTTGTACCAACTGCAGAAAATCTTGTGCTCCCCTTTGCCTGTTTAATTGACGAAACCTACATTGCCTCTTCATTTTATTCATTTTCCCCCCGTTTTTCGATTCTATCTCTTCCAGCTCGTACAAAATGCAAACAGATGCTGGTAACTTAGCCTGGTGACTAGACGCCATGCTGATAGTCGCAATGTGGTCGTGGGGTCGCAGTACTCGCTTCTACATAAGTGTTTTCGACGTTCAAGAGACTTAAGGCCAATTTATACTTCTTACGACATGTGTCGCGCGACACTCTGGCTTGTGCAATCTATGGGCACGCGCCATCCGACAATCAAATAAAGCATTTATAGTAAACGCGACAACCCATGCGACAACCGCGCGAAATCTGCATACAAATTTAAAATTATGTTGACATTTACATCAAGTAGGGCATTGGCAGCATTGTTAATATTCTTTGTGAATCAAATTAATTCATTTTGCTAAAATGCTAGACAACCACGACAGGCTAATGACAATAGCAGGTATAATTTTTCCGCCAGGATTACCACTCTTCGATTTTAAACGCTTTTGGCTTTCGTAAATCGGTCCCGTATTTTCTTCCATTTTTGTCTGCAAACAGCATCATTTGTTTCGAGCTTTTCGGCGATTTCCTTCCATGATTTCGTAGTTTTTTGTAGGTCTTTATAATCCCTTCTAGACGAGTCTCATATTTGAGGGTATTTCCTAACTTCTTCCGCTAATCATTATTCGAATCCATCCATGATTTAGTATTTTTTCATATTTGTGATAAACATATGCTGAGACAAACACAAATGACTAACCACGTGTTGTTAGATAGCCAATTATCTTGCGCGACAATTCGACAAAATGTCTGCGACGTAACAACTTTTTGCAAGGCGCACGTGTGCGACAATACGGTGAAATTACGTCTAATGTTACTTCCGTTTTGGTGATATGACGTCATATTCCTCATGCGACATGGCGCGCGACACTTGTCGCACGAAGTATAAATTAGCCTTAACGCGTGCGTATCAGTTCGCTTTAGTCGCGCGACCAAAGCTACTGCACAGTGTGTTTCAGCCAGTGGTTTCAGCCTTTACAGAAGTTTTTGCGCGCCTGACTTTCGTTTTTGCTAGTTTATACGCACCTGAAAAGCGAATTTCGCACTATGTTTTCGTAAAAAATCGTACTTTGTCAAAATATTTAGCAAAAATTGCGATATTTTCGTTTATACATTGTATTTTCTGAACATTTGCCGTGATCTCTGGTGCGCAATACCAACTTTCCAGTCTGTTGCGTATCATTACTTTTTTACAATTAAATCTCAAACAAGTATATATTTTTTGTTTATTTCATTTTCTATGAGCACACAGCAATCGGGCCAAAAAGTGTGGTGCCTTCACAAACAAGAGGAGGCTCGTACGCCTATGGCTCTAAGCTTGCTGCTTTTTGAATTTCCTTGTATGCCCTGCATGAGGATCCCGCAAACATCTAAACTTCTTCCTCTAGCATTTCTTCAAAAATCATCTCTGATGAGTTTCAAAGATTTTTGCACTCCTCATCTGCCATCTTGTTTTGAAAAATTTCGCCTTCGCCCGCCGATGAAGTCAAGACGATTTCAACTTCGAAGCGTAAACGAGCGCGTTTCGATTGCTTTTCCAACATTTTGGCTTCACTCATGCTCTATTCAGGCTATTTTCGCTGTGATGGAAATTGACCTTTAGAACATTCGTAGTGCGTTCAGAAACAATCTCCATTATATACTTTTTGGGCGTGGCCCTATAATTTAAAAATTAGTCAAAGATCGCAGATTTAAATAGAAGACTGTTGATACTAATATTATTAAGACGGTGATTACAAAGAAGCAAACACTGAAAACGATTTTATGTAAGGCAAATCTATTTAAATAGAAAAAGTAATGGCGAATTTTTTCAGATAATTCGAATAAAACCAAGAACATTTGAATAGCTACTTGGTTTAGTTGCTTCTAGCATCACTCGCTGGAAAACACGACGAGAAGCCATCGGGCCAGACAAAAAGCTAATAGTAACACTGATGTACCTGGTCACTGGTGATGCTTTTATAACTATAGCAACAAGTTTTCCCTTAAGTCCCACAACTGTTTCCGATTGGTTGATTTTAATCACTTGCTCCATGGTTCGTGCGACAAGAAATTTGATGATCTTGAACTTTCAAAGCGTGCGCGCTAGTGGCAGCGGCGTCCGAGAGGAGCCAATGAGGTAGTTTATAGCGCATGCTCAAACGTGTACTCTCCGTGCGCGAGGGGAAAACGGCCGTAATGGATTCTACCTTAAATGAAAAATCACGTTTGTCATTAGATTTATTGGCATGAATTATTCCAAGACATAAATAAAGGATGGTTCATGCAGTTATACCAATAGATATACTCATTTGTATTCTCTTCATTAATCTTTAAAATTATTGCACTTTTCTGCGCATCTACTTGAGCAATTTTAAGCAAGGATATTCGACAGTCTGTTGAGGCCAATCATCACAAATAAATTCCGCTATTTGGTCTATCAAAGGTGTAATGTTGCTTGAGCATAGTATCACATTAACCATGCATGAATGTAATGTAGTGTTCACATATAAAATCTAAATCTTTGAGCTCTGTACTCGAGATGAATTCATTTAATCAGAGTTTTTTCTTATTTGTTATTTGCTAATTTTTATTAGGGCCCTGCGACTTTTTAATTGCGACTTCCGACTGTTTGGGGCTGTTTACATGATTCCGGCTAGCCGAGAGGATGAGGGAATGACACCACACGTCACTCCGGTTGTAATACTCAAATTAGGGAAAATTGGCTGTTTCAATTTTAAATGTTTTAGAAGTTATTACATCAGAATATTGTAAAATTGTATGAGAAGATTTATCTGATGATAAGTATGGAATCGTTTCCATTTGCCAACATTATTTAACGCTCTGCTGAATACCGGCTCCCGGGCTCATGTAATCAGACCGTTAGTCTAAACATCCCTAATGAATGTATTGATGAGGGAAATTCGTCACTAAACGTCCCTGTGATAACAAAAGATCCCGAGGCAACCATGTGATTACTATAGCTAATCGTACTTACAAGCATTTTAAACTATTCTTAGCTCTACTATTTCCCTTACTAAACAGTCAGTGTTTTGTCATGTAGATTGACCTCGATAATCGATGCTGCACGGTATCTATGAATATAAGAACCAACCACCTAAAGATAAAAATTGCTTTCCCTGAATTTTATCCAAGTGTTGCTCCTTCTTTCGAACTAATTGATGGCTCAATTGACTCCTTGATGAAAACTGAAATAACTAAGGTCAGAAATACATTGGCTTAGAATTTTAGTGCAATAATTTTATCAATAATCGTTGATCTGCTCATATTGCACGAGCGAAAATGAATAGGAAGGAGCAAGAAAAATATGTCAAGCTTTTCAAGACTGATTCAAATTAAAATTGAAAAATTAGTTGTTGTTTGGGTCGCTCATTATTAATTGCAGGTGATGTAAATGGTAGTTTTCTTTCCTCGAGCTTCTTTACGTTGTTTTTGCACGTTTTAAATTAAGCTTTTTTGTTGAAATTCCGTTTCACTGCTTCTATTGAAGACATGAACATATCATACATTTTAGTTGTTGGATAAAGAAGCGTTGCTATGTTTGGGGAACAACGAATTCTGCTTGGAAAAATGTCTGATCAGTTTAATCTTGTATGCAGAAGACTTAATGGTGTGTATAATGAATTAGCGAGCATAAGTTCACGCGACTCGCCCTCAAGACGACGCTTACAGGAAGTAAATTCTTGTGATTTCAAAAACTGCGCATGCGTCTGTTTGAAAATCGGCGCGTTGTGTGACGACGACGCTTTGATTTTGTCAAAGTCACGGCGGCGTCATTGTTGTTTAGTTTTTTCTAGCAAAGTTTTGCTTCTCACAGCGACAATAACTTTTTAGCGTTTATAATGTTTGCATCATATGCTACAGCGAATTCTTCCCTAGTTTTTCTAAAGCTGGTCATCGCTTTACATATACATATGGCGTGTGTGACCAATTTTCTTAATCAGGTCTGTTGCTACGACGACAGCGTTGTGCTAAAGGTGCGTCGTGTAAACTTAAGCTCGCAATTATGTGTTTGTTGACGCAGCCAAACAAAGGCCATCAAATAAAATGGGGAATTTGGTATTGCAAGTTTTCCCTCCCAGTTTGGATTTCCTTTCAAAATTTGATAGGCATTAGAATTCGTGCTCACTGATTTATATAATTTAGGCGCACGACAGGCGACTCACTAATTCAATTCATCCATTCAGTCCATATGATGCAATGTATTCAAATGAAATGGAGGGTGCCGAGGGAAGAAATGATTACAGTACACCTTTCCCCCCGCACCTCTGGTGCATGTTTTACAGCTAATGGTAAGTAACAAATTTTATTCCATTATAACAATAGCTAAAGGTGTATTTTTCATTATCATTATCATAAAATATGTTTACATCACAAAAAATAAAATAGCTAAATCACAAAAAATTTAAAAGCCCGGTCACGCGATACCGCTAGAGGTTGAAAACGATGCAAAACTCTTACTGTTTACCCAGTGCCTGCGTGAAGAAGTTTAAAACCTGACACTAACCCTGAGAGTTTGAAAGCGTTATGCGTATCTGTTATGGTATGAAAGCATTTCAAGTGAAACCGTTTAGTTGACATGTCAACACCTAACTGTAAGAGTTTCATAACGATTCAGCAAAACTTTCTCAGCAAAATATAAAAATGGCAGCCATAAGTGGCGCAAATTTTTAAAAATGTAAATGAAATTAACTGAACTTGCACTAGGATACTATATATAATTGCCTTTTTTAAGTTGACAGTGCTGTCTGTGCAGCACATTTTGTTTGAATTTACCATTGTTACAAAAGCGTTTAGTGGTTATGAAAAGATGCAAAATACTTCATTAACTTTATTACTTGAGATTAAAAAGTTAAAGAGAAAAAAGAAAAGAAAACAACGACTATTTTGGACTCTGCCTGCACGAACATCTGCTGATGTTCGATGATTCATTGGAAGTCCAACTACCCGCTCCATCAAAGGTTTCAGTTTGTTTTTTGATACACCCTGTATAGGACCTTGAGGGAATTTGTCCACTAAATTACTTTAAATTATTAGAGTGCGGCCAGTGTTCAAAACATGGCAAATTTTGGTGGTCAAAGTCAGCGGAAAGACGGCGATGATGAAATAAAAAACTTTTTCGCCGACCCGGATTTGACCATCATGATTTCAAAAATAGAAAACATCAAAACTATTTATTATCCAAAATAGAACACAAACACTTTTTTAAAATTTTATTTATAAAACAGTCTGCAAACTTGCATGGTATGCGGATGCCGAAATAATGATGGAAAAGAAAACATTTCTTGACACCAGTAAGCAACATAACATTCTTTATCATTTAAAGTGCTCAGTATTTTCTTTACTAAAACAATATTTAAAGAGTGATAGCATATATTTTTTATTATTTTTACTAATACGTTTTAATTTAAGTTACTTTTGTCCAGTCTTATTTGTTCTTTACTTTATCACTTGCCAGACGAGGCAAAGCAGCCAATTCTTATCGAGATTCGCCTATATCCTGCATCAAGCCACACTCTCCCACTTTGAGTTGAGTTTACCTCCCAAAAACGGAGGAGAATTTGTTCATATATTTTAAAAGCATGAAGGAAATGTTTAAACAGAGTTATGTTTAAATTGAATGCAGTACCAACATTAATTGACACCGTGGTATATGCCATATGATTAAAATAACTGTATTAAACTGCTTGCCGGCTTAATTTGACTGACTGTTGACAATCATAATGAGATTGCAAAGTTTACTTTTAACAAAGAGTTTTATAAGTTCCACCTAGTGTTTCTGTAAATGAAGTATTTATTCACATTTAATATAAACGACAACTTTTTTGAAAATAGACATGTTTCGACATCTCATGATGCCATCTTCAGTATGGGTGAAATAATAAGTGATACAGGGTTTATATAATAGTAATATGATACATAAATTACAACAATAAAGGAAATAAGATAAATTAATGAGGAGCGTCCGAGCGTATTATAGGCCCCGTCCACACGTATACGGATATTTTTGAAAACGGAGGTTTTTTTCTCCGTTTCTGAAAAGATTTGCGTCCACACGTAGCGTATTTGAATCGTTTTCGCCTGTCCACACGTATACGCAAAAACGGAGGAAATTTAATACTTCTAAGCACAGAGCATGCGCATTTACTTGTAACAAGAGATTCATCAAGCTTTTGCAGCATCCAAATTTTGGCGCTATTTAGCAACATCTCTTTACCATCTTTACATTTGGCATCGTGGGGCACTCTGTTTGTTTGATTTCGTGAGTTTGAATAAAAATTAGAATGGCCAAGTCAAATAAAGGCTCCACCAAAGGAAAAGGCAAAGTCGAATGTTATATTTGGACTGATGATGAGGTCGAGCTTCTCCTTAAAGTTACGGAGGAGTACAAGGTTAAACAAACCGCTGAGAACATCGACTGGGAATCTTGTCAGAGCAAGTACTCTGATATACTTTATTTATTTAAATCGCAATATCCATCTGCAGAAAACGCCAAGGATATCGGAAAAGATTTTCCCCACAAAAGAAGATATTACGAAAGTAATAATAACCACCAAACTCAAGGCAATACGGTCCAAATTCAGAGCAGCCGTCGATAGTGGAAAGAAAAGTGGACATGGGAGGGTAGTTCTTTGTACTTCGAAGTTTGTGAAGCGATATGGGAGGATCCCCTGCTACATCCACAATAAATGCTGGATTTGAGTCTGCAGACATAACAGTAGACTCAATAAATTCATCTTCAACTCCTTCGAGTCCTGCATCATCAACAATCTTTGACAGCGATATATCACAAGAAACAGACAATATCGAGACCTCCAAAGAAGTGCAGGAGTCTGAAGTTAAGAAAAGAAGAAATTTGCTTGATGCAAAGCTGAGGGGCTACAAACAAGAAAAATTAAAAGAAAAATCTCATCAGAAAATGAACTGATAATATTGGCTCGAGAAGAGATGCAAATGAAGAAAAGAATGCTAGAAAAAATTGATGAAATGGATCAGGAGCATTCACAACACTTGGCACGACTAACTACCAGCATAGAGCAGTTGACAGGGTCTATTGCTGATGGATTTGCAATGCTGAAGTCAATGATGCAGCCTACTTCATTTCCATTACAACATGTCCCTCAACATAATCCTTTACCTTTACACGTACACATTCAAATAGTTATGCACAATGCACACAAGTCGCAGTTAGTGGTCATGATAAATACAACTTGACCACTTTACAGCCAAGATACCCTGAACAATCAGGTGTGTTCCCCAATTATTCATAAAAAGAACAAAAATATATTTGCACAGTTTATTTTTTATTAAGACAGCATTAATAGCACAATTTGAAACAATTTATATCATTAAATCAACTCCATAATTTAGTAGATTAATATTATGTTCAAATAATACTTTTCCAACATAATTAAATTAAAAATCAATATATCAATGTTGTGTCACGGTCAATCTTGGAAAAGCTATCATGTTCAATCTATTATAAGTATATTTACAAGAAGTATTGGTGCAAATTGTTCTATATTTTTCAAACACATCAGATTCTCAAGGATCAAAGTACTTGGTCAAAATCCTTCTTGTTTTCTTACCCTCACTTTCATTGCAATCAGTGGTGAAATTGTTAGTAACAACAGCTGGTTGAAACTCTCTATCGTAATCAATGGCAGAGGAAACCTTTTCTTCTCCAATCTTTTCATTGTTTATCTCACAGTAATTATGAAGCACAAAACATGCATAAATGACACATGGTAGCTCATCCATATTTATATCCATTGCTCTCTTTAAAGCTCCAAATCTAGCTTTAAGGCGGCCAAATGAACATTCAATTACCATGCGAGCCTTGCACAAGGTCAAACCGAAGTATTGTTCTTGCACAGTTGACCCACCATTTGAATACTCCTTCATAACATACGGCATAAGTGGATATGCAGGATCTCCCAGAATGAATACTGGCACAGGATCCTCATCAGGAAGGATTGTACGTTTGCACGGTGGAATTTTTCCACTCTTTAAGGAAGAATTTAGACTAGAGTTTGAAAATACTCTAGCATCATGCACACCCGGGCCATTTGACAACAACATCCATGAAACAATAATTATAATCACAAGCAGCTTGAACATTAAGGCTATAACGACCCTTACGATTGATGTAATCTGTTGAGTTTGCATTAGGCTGCCTAATTTCTATGTGGGTTCCATCAATTGCTCCCAAACATTGAGGGAAACCGTGCACTCTATGGAACTTTTTTACCAGACAATTTACTTCTTCCTCAGTCCTTGGAAGTTTAATATATTTTGGACCAAGATAAATTGTTATGGCTTTACTGCCTTTACACACTTTCCGGACGATTTTTGACACAGATTGCCGTGAAAGCCCAAAAGCGTTAGCTGTTTTCCGCATACGACCGTCGTCGCTCGAATAATATAATGTGACGGCTACTTGCTTCACAACGTCGACTGATTTCCTCGTTATAGTGTTTTTCCCTTCGATGTATGGTCTTAATTCTTCCGCCAAAGAGTTGATCGATTCTCTGCTCATCCTAAAGTTCTCCCTCCATTCCTCTGTTACGACTATTTCACTGGCAAAGTTGTCCCACCAAGCACTTGTTCGTCCCGGCCTTGTCCAAAATCTTCGTGGTCTAACTTTTTTTTTCTTTACTCGTTTTAAAACTTTTGTGGCATCTTGTGACACCGAAAGCAACTTCATGATATTCATCCGCTTTCTTAAATATTGCCCATGAAAGTTTATCATTGCAACGTGCAAGTTAATGCATGCTATCAAATTTGAAATTATTCCAAATAAAATAGCAATGCACTTGTGATCCGCCATTTTAAAAAGTACTCGTTTGACTAAATTCATGAGACTGGGCTCCATTATTGATGTCATCGTTTTCAAAAACCTCCGTTTTCGCCCGTCCACACGTAAACACAAAACCGGCGTTTTCAAAAGTCTTCACTCTGGAGAGCGTATTCGAAAACCTCCGTTTATGGTCACCGAAAACGCCGTTTACGTGTGGACGCAAGGCCAAAACGGAGGAAAAAACCTCCGTTTTCAAAAATATCCGTATACGTGTGGACGGGGCCATAAACTAAATATTGTAATGAATTTAAAAACTTGAACATTGAGGTCAGGGTTAGTTTTGTTGATGTGGAGTGCTTCTTTGATTTTAAGGGTGAATGAGGTGTCGGCAGTGTCGATGATTTTGAAACAAGAGGGTGAATAGTTGGTTTTGCATAAGTGAGATTTAAGAAGGTGTCGGTAGATATGAGAGTTTTTGTCTGTTGTGGTATG